GTGTAAAATTTATGGAATCTATGGACTTTGGTTGGGTTCGACATTCAAGCATAAAGAAATTGTTTTTAAATACAAGTTTTTTAACTGTAGCCCATGAAGGTCCTGAAGAACACTTTAAAGGCTTTTCTTTCTTCTGTACTTTCCAATATTATAAATGAATCCAGTTTCACTGCACGCAGGAAATTAATTTCAAAGGTATCAGCACTATCATATGTTTCAACTTTATCATTCAAAATAAATAACTGTCGCCGACGGAACATCAATTTGCTTGTTTTTTCAATAATTGAAATTGCGGCTCCTAATGTAACTGTGATTACAGCGGAAAATGTAGGCAACCCTTGTTCAATTCTTACCCTGGCGTAAAAACGACATATTTATCTTTATATTGCAGTTTTTTAAACTTTTACGTTGGTCTTACGACTGACGAACATCGTCAATTTTCTTTTTTAAATCCATCTTATCTAAAGTGAACTACTAAATATTGTTTTTCATAATAATTATTACACTATTATGAAGTCTAATGAAGTCAGTCAAGAGACGGTATTAAAGCCAATTTATTTAATAAAGTTTTCAGTTGTTCCAATATATGTACTTAAATTCGGACAGTGAATATTAAAAATTACTACTTTATTATACTTCTTTTTTAAAAAGTACAATATTCCATTTCTATATCTAAAGACACCATCAACATCAGATGGAACGCCAAGAAATAGTCTACTAATTAGTTAATTAATTAATTACATGTGTTCATAATACATTCAGTCAATTCAATATAATAACAATTATCATAAAATATAAAAGTACGTCCTGTGTAGAAATTAAAAGTTGTTGGATTTTTTTTATTTGTAGGTACTCCTAACTCATAAATGTTTCCAGACTGTTTTATTTGAAAATTAGGAAAGCCAATGAAATAATATTTATTTTCATCTATAATTAAACTTCTCCAGAAGGTTTTGACAAATTTGTTTTGCAAACAGTAAATATTCAGATATTAATTTTGGATCTCTGTATCGTTTGTCATTTATATTCATTGTCCAAACCCATCTTTTGTAAAATATATACAAATGGTGATTTGAAGTTATCAATAAATATCTGGATGATTTATTGAACATAGGTCTGGTAAATTAAGGTCTGAGAGGTCCGCAGCCTTGTCCTGTAATAACTTGTTTCAATTCATATTTTAATCATTCAGGTCTCCCATATAAATATTGAATTGCCCACATATCATCTACTGTACTAAGATTAATTAATTTTATTGAATAATCAAACTTTGTCACACATGTTTTATATTTTTTTTTTTATCTTTCCTCAAATTCATCCCAAGTCGCATGAATCGAACACTCTCACATATCGTTCACCTTCTGCCTACTTCGGAAATACGACTCAATTATAAACGATTTCTATTCCAATGGAAATGCCATTTTTAAGCGAATTCGCAAATGAAGTTCTGACAAGAACTGTTTTAAATCTAAAGATTATTTCTCCAGGAAATAACAATAAGCAAGAAAACACGAGTAAGATTTTTCTTATCCATTTTGACATATGTATTTTTTTTTTTTTGGTTAACACAAATACATTATTATTGTTAAAATCTTTTTAGGTCGTAAATGTCAAGTTAACAGCAGAAGGAAAATATTAAACCACAAATAGCGGAGCATCATTTAGTAATAAATTCTGACCAATTATAAGAAAGCGAAACATTTTTCTTTAATTAAAAATTTATTGCTTTGTTGTGGAAAGTTATTAAAGCTCGAAATCTCTCTCATCACTGACGATATTACGTGGCGCAGTTTTATTTGGATGACATATTCTGGTAATTACAAACGAAACCAACAACTACTCGAGACAAATCCTCAAACGCTAATAAACCTCAAAATAAATTCTCTCAAAATAAAATTTGGTTGCGTTATTAATTCACAATAATAACGACGGTTAATGTCAGGTCCAGACCAACTTAAGTGAAAATTAATACTCGTTTCAGTTTACTTTAGTGTAAAAAATTCAACCTAAAGTATAAATTCTAGCGACGGGGTACCCAATGTTATCCTAGTTTTAATGTTTGAACGATTGAACGCTTTTGGCAGGGTATTTCTTCGGTGGTGAGACATATGACTGCATTTATATTCGATTGAATTCAACGACTCCTTTCCTTCAAAGTGACAGACAAAATAAACATGGGTTTTTACAGGAGGAACTTTACTGTGCAGAGCCTTTACTTTTGTGTAAACAAGATATCCTTTATCGGTAGTACTGTGAACCGTGAAATTATCTGATTCACCGTAGTGAGATTCAGTATTGGCAATTTTGGAAATTCTAAGGGCGTTTCTGTCGCAAAATAAATATTACTGCACACAATTTGCAGAGAAGAAACGAGCGGTTGTTTCAGCGTATTTTCCACGAAAGAAAAATATCTTTCACACAACTCGTTCCCAGTTCTGCAACTATACTTATCTTGCTCAATTTCTGCATTTTACAGGCATATTTACTGTAAGCAAAGAAGACGCCAGGAAAGAATAATTTTCATGGCGAATTGCTTAGAATTTGAATGTGTTGTAAAGTTTGTGTAGCGTAAAGAATAAATTACAAGAGAGGGAATATTACGAAAACCCAGATACAACCATCCATCGGTAGCCGAGGCGAGTTTTCAAAAAGTTAATGCATTTTTATTGAGATATTATTTTTTATTAGCTGCTCTCTTTTCATCGTTCTTATTCCCGATAACTTTAAAATCGACTGAATCCATAAAATTGTCACAGAAGTCGGGCTCTCTTCAATAAAAATTTAAAGCAGCCGGTATTTTATTAAAAGTGTGCTGCAATATTGGAAAACAATTCTGAAACATAAAAATATTTAATTTAACGAATATAATCTTTTTTAAGTAATAAAAGCAATTAGCCCAACTCTATGCTAAATAATTTAATTTATTTCTAGAATTTCTTCACAAAGACAATTTTTATTTCCCAATGAATGATTGCATTTGAAATTTTTAAGGAACTTTCCGTATTCAATCCCAGCACAAGTCGTGTCTCTTTTGAAGTTTAGCTTTGAGAGATGCTCTTTTCAAACACGTCTTGATTTTCAGACAAAGTTAATGTCTTCGGGAGTACAATAAAGAAACTTCACATGTTCTCGTAAAATGTGGGTTTTATTACCCATTGTAAGTAAGAAAACGTAAAGGGAAGTTACAAACGAAAAAATGGTGATGGAATGTCCTTCACAGTCTTGAAAGTGTGTAGTAAACGAATAAAATCTCGACGCGTTACTAATTATTTCTTTTTACTCCGAGATGGAAATTATTAAAAAGGAGTTGGAACTCTCACTAAAAATGAAAAAAATGTTGCTCTTTTGTCCCTTTAGTGCGAGCTAACCAGTTAAATAAATTTCCAAGAAAGTCCCGTTGGAACCCAAACTTATCTAAAGTTTGCATTTAATTTAAATTCGTTTGAATATAAATTCAAATGAACCTTTTTCTTGCATTTGAAACAACGAAATTTCAAAGTTGAAAATTGAGAGTATTTTATTTTCAATTATTTAATTTACTTTAACTTATTTAATTAAGATGATGTGCATATTCCTTAAAACTTTATCTTGTTACACAACGAACTTTCACAGATCATTGTGACATATATTCAGACTTAATTAAAATAATCCATTACTTTACCCACGCTGATATATACTGGATTGTTTCACAACCTGTGACCTCGGATAGGTACATACCATGAATAAAACATGTCAATAAAGTACACATTCTTACCGTATTCCTGAAAATTATATAATTCTAATTATACTAAAATGTTTCTTATTTAGTCAGAGCGAACTATAGTGTATACTACTTTTGATATTTTAAAATCTCCGGTTTCATCTTCCTTTCTTGGTGAAAGCATCAACTAGGGATTTAATTTTTTTTAAATCAGTTGCTTCCATATTCATGACTGAAAAACGATGTTCTTGACTTGTTATCCTCATTAATTGTTTCCAGGTCAGCCAGATGCCATAATTTGAAAACTTTTACAACTTCTTTCTCTCCCTTTCAATAACTGCATGATCTCTATCCACTTCTAAATAAGTATGCCCTCTTACAAGGAATCTCTGCTTAATTTTATGATTTTTAGTGTGGGTGTAGATTTTAATAAAGAAGTATGCTAACAAGCCTGCAATTGCGTTTTCTTTGGCGAAGGACAATTATCTGACATTCAATTAATTTTTCCACGTAAAATTCTTAAAAGCATAATTATTTGAAACCATTTGCACTTGCAAATACATATTTTAAACTTATTGTAAGTTAATACAAAAGAATTAATAGTCAAAGATGTGGAAGTACGATATATATATGCTCAGTAGTACAGTAGTATAGTAATCGAGTCCATCCGGCGATTAGTAAATCGCTATATGTGGTCTGTCTGTCTGTCTGTCCTCTGTGTCGCTTTTTATTAGACAGAGTATTTCCTTCAAAAAAATTGATCCAATCAAAGCATTTATATTTCTGCATGACAACCAATAAAAATAGAATTTTGGCGATAATTTGCACTAGTGCAAAATTAGCAGATTTGACATTTAGTTGATGATAAATAATAGGACTAATTTCAAATTATTATTTACAAAAGGTAGGTTACATTTTTGTGAAATACAATTATTATATGCACAATTAAAGAAACTTGTGCGGAAAATTGTTATCTGAACTAATGAATTTTTTTTAGAACGGTGTAGTAGAAAGCAAACAAAAAACATCAGATTTTATAACTACTAAGATTTATATTTCCATCTCTAATTTTAACAACATGAATCAACTTCATTCTGGCGCTGTCTGTAGTAAAAATGTTATTATTGTTAAGCAACACAGACACAAAATATATATAGAAATACAAACACGACACGCATTTAAGGATGCATAATCTACCCGAAATGTAAAACTTCGTTAACATAATTACGTCCTCAAAACTGTTTTATTTTACAACAAAAATTAACAAACCTATGTACATCTACACTTTTTGACTACTTACCTACTGCGGAAGAAACAAGAACCAACAACATAAGCTTTATCCATGGCAGTGTCCCTAACAGATGAGATCTCATGTCGTCAGAAGTACCATGTCTGTTTGTCGCGGTAGTTATTCGAATGCACATCCACAACAGCACAGCATCCCAACGGCACAGTAATAACTCCACCAAATTACATCGCGACCTGTTGGAATTCCCAATTAGACTGGTTGTTGATGATTGAAACCTTTTACGCGAATTTTTTGTAAAACACCTAACAATTTTGTTGCCCATTTTAATCGGATCCGGATAGAAATGTTCATCACAAATGTATCAAGAGCCCTAAACAATATATCAAAATATCCCTCTCTAACCGTTTTAATCTAATGTAACAGCACGCAGAACAAACATAGAGAAACAGAGAACACGATAAATCACTGTTTTAGAGAAATTTGATATAAATAATCCACTCTTAGCAGAATTAATTTAGAGTTCCTAATGGATGTTCGTGCGTCAAAATATCAAACAAGAATGATATGAAAGTCAAAAATACAATGAAATTATATTTTTAGTTAGGAAACCAATATAATTTTTTTTTAGTTAACCTTCAGAAATGGACTTGGTGTTTTTCATCGCACTGAGTAAAAATTTTGCGACCATAAATATTGAGAACGGATGGAGATACTGAAATCCTGTAAACGCCAATGTTTTTAACGTGAAGTGGAAAGCTTAATTTAGTGCAACGTATATTGTTTTAACGGATTTTAGTAGACCGACCATGTAAAATACAAGCATCATAATATTCTTAAAGTAACATTAAGAATTTTCAGTAGATTAAAACTAATTGAATGTGAATTGAACTTTTTTTTGTGTCAGCCTCAGTAGTGCCAACTTAATTATTGATTAAAAATAATACCGTGTTGGTAAAGGGCTAATTTAAATAGAATTAAATTGTTATAATGCAAAATTTTATGCGAACCAAATAAACGTACGTTCATTGTTTTTAATATGGCATTCACTTAAAACTTTTCAATAAAATTTCAACTTTTGACTGCACAGTCATAAAGCGCACAATATTTATTTGAATAAGCACTAAACATTGATATTTTTGAGAGTAGACAACTAAATTAATTAATGACCTGAACATAAAACAGCTAAAACATATATGCAAAATTCTATGTATTGTTATCCGTAATTTTCACCAAACCATAAAATTTATATCCGCAACACCACGTTACCAAAATGAGCCCTTGTAAATAAACATGTTGTAGTTTGTAATTTAACAAGTTTAACCTAAGTAAGTATAATAAAAAAACCCTTAAAATTTGATTTTGATAATTTAGTTTCATCACATAGTTAACTAATTTTTTATTACTTTGTATTAAATCCCAGCTTGGAATGTGCTAACACTAATAGTCAGCATTACATGGCTACTTTTCACAAAACGTACAAATCTGCAAAAGTTCGAAATTATAATTTTGCACGTGCGATATACCTTTTCCACATGAAACATATTATTATTTTCTTAATTAAAATGAAGTGTAAAGAAAACAATAATATTATTAATCAATCACAATATGCTTCATCTAACTTAAGATCAGAGTATCAAATGTGGGTGTAGGTGTAAAGTATTTGTGGTTAGTGACAAATGACTGAATATTGGCTACGGTTTCAGTTCAATTTGTACAAATTCATAAATCAAAACTGAAATTTAAGACTTCATGTCACAAAAGAGGTGTTTTGATACAAATCTGTTCAGAAATAGCATATAGTACGAAAAATAATTAATAAAATTTGATCTAAACTTATTTAGCCAGAACTTGCCTCTCTTCTGAAGTATGTACAATCAAGCAAATCGAGTTTCTTAGATAAATTATACTCTGATTCTACTAGTTTTTTTTTTTTTTTTTGATAATCCCTAGTTAATATAATTAAGAAATAGATTGTGAAACTACAGATAAAGAAACATGCTATGCGTATGCTTTAAGGCAGATTGTCTAAATACAGTTTTGTTAGGTTGTCGTCAAATTTTCAGTGGATACAAATACAGGGTGTTATTGAAAGGTACGTACAACAAAATTGACAGTTCTTCGCGAAGTCCAAGAAATCTGAAAAACTTATTTTGTGTTATCAAAATTATAAGGGAAAAATTAACCCTTACCCAACCTTTTTAGACGCTACTGAAAGATAAATAGGTAAAATTAATTTATTTTAGTAAATCCTAGCAACTGTAACAATAAAATTTTTGTCAAGACTAAATGTTGCTATATAAACGAGAGATGATCTTTTTATCAGAGGCGTACAACGAATTTGGACATCAATTTCAATAATTTTTATCTCTAAAACGAGAACACTTTTACCTGAACTTTTTTTAACTTTTAGCACCCATACTTCGAGACCAATTGCCGATTTTATTTTGTACGTACCTTTCAAAAACACGCTATATATCAGTTTAAATAGGTGCAGTGTATTACTAAAAAACATCAAATTAGATGGAGATATGTAAAGTGAATTCTAAATTGACCACAATATTTACATGCATTTTTCACAGTAACGTTAAATAAAAAAAATAGAAACCTATAAAATACGTATTTACAAAACTAAATTAAAATAAAACAAATATTACTTGTTTAATCCGTTTGATAGTATTATGGATTTCATATAAAAACAGTGCACAAATAGAAAAAATAATTGGTTTTGCATATTTTCTTTTACTGGTTCAATAAATGTTGCGTCATATTTGTCATTGTTTCACACACACATTAACGTTAACTAACATCACTGACAATTTCACGTAATCCATTTACGCAATTCTGAGTTCGTCTACATAAGATTTCCTTTTACACTTCGAAATTATTGCTGGATTACAATTCGTCTTCTTGAAACTCTGTAGGCAAGGATTACAGTTACGTAAATGGTCTGCACCTGAGAAGAACTTTCTATTTATCTCTTTTAAAAATTAATTTCATGAAAATATTAAAATATTTATCACAACGCAGTCAGGATTTCTTGTCAAACAAATTTTAAACGGCCCGTTTTATTGCAGATTGACTTAAAATATAGAAGATCGTGAAAAACAATCCAAATAAAATTTGCACCCAGTTCCTTGCATCTGTAAATAAGAATTTGTATCGCAAGGTCAGAAACTAGGTTTTTGCGAATACGCATGAATTTGTCAACCCGAGCCGATAAGTGAGGCCTTCAAGTCCTGGGCGAGTGATACACAAGATTAAAGAAAGTTAATTTCACGTATATTGTCGATGCTTCAAAATCCTTAGAGTATGAAAAAATAGGTCTTCCATTTCCACCCGTCTGTCGTCTGTCTACTGTTTGTCTGGTATCTGTCTGTCGTTTGTATGTAGTCTCTCTATCGTCGGTAGTTTATCGGCAATATTATTAATAGGCCACTGGGTTCCAAAACTGTTGGACTGACTTTTATGAAATTTCAACAATGAAACAAATGGCCAAAACAGAGCCTCAATTTCAGTGCGTACAATAAGAAAACTTTTTTCCAGACATTAAATCTTTATATGGAATTTCAGCATCTAAATAGGCGTAGAATCTTCTGTAGAAAAACCACTGAAATGATTAACCTGTCGCTTTGATATCACCGCTTTTATGTCACGACAAATATCAACACATAATAAAAGAACACCTCATGTTCCCATAATAATGGAGTAAATATGCTTCTATTCCGGAGAAACCAGCGAACTGTGTTAATTGAATACAAATTCCACAATTCATGTGCATAAAAATGCATAAAATTTTCAGCAGTGATAATTCAATGAATAATGTATTCAGTTTATTTATATTTCATATACATACTTTTGATATAATTTTTTATTCGATGCTTCTATACTCACGAGATGATACCTCATCTTCGTCCTTCGACTTACTTTCTATATTAATTAGCTTTCTGCTTACACTGCAACCGGGTTGTTTGTTGGTTTGAGTTCTTTATTAAATTATTTATTTGTCAACACAGATTTGGAAAAACGAAATTATTACTCCGTGACTAGTCAGTTACTAAGAGCAATTTTAAAAGTTGACGTAATATAATCACAATAGTAATTCTATCGTTCTGGACTAATCGGAGTTATTTAATTAAATAAAACTTAATTCAATAAAAGAAATTTTGTAAAATACTTTAATTGGCATTATCCCTATCTGGATAACTGTTATATCGTTTTTCATTAAGTTGATATCTTATTCAATTACTGTACTACAAAATAGTGGCTAATAATAAAAACTGTTCAACAACCGTCAAAAAATAACCTATATATTTTAGGGTGAGCCATTTTTAGCGTTGCTTATATCCAGGCAAACAACCATTGATCACACATCACCTAAACAGGACATACATTTTTCTCATCTAATCCAAAGTGACTTAAAATAATGTTAACATAATCAAACTGTCCGAAAAATATCGAAGAAATGCCATTTCTCGCGGAATAATTTTTAAAGTGTTAGATAAATAGATTCTTTTAAATATAAAAATTTCAGATTAAACTATTCAATCCACACCTACACTAGAGACACATGTATTAACTTGCAATTCCATTGATAGTTGCCAGTATTTTCCATTTTGTTTCGATGTGTCTTATGTTGAATTGTATTTTTACTAGTATAGTGTCAGAAGTTGGCCGCTATATTCAAATTTACGATTGCTGTCATATTTTTCGATAACACTAAACTATATAATCAATATTTTCCAGATATAGTCACGGACTGTATTAGATTCCTTGTGCCACGTGTCTGGAAGTTTGGAGAATAGGTTGCCTCTTCGGGTGTTATTTAACAAAAATGACTGTTATTTAACGTACAATAAACAACCATTTATTATTGTTTGATTTTTGATTATATTGACCTTTTCCGTAGTTAGTGCTGTTCACTCATTGATTTTCAAATTAGTGTTGGTTTATATGTTGGGCATAAAAATTGTATTTAGTTGGTAAAATGCAGTTAGCTCAAGTTTCTTGTAATTATTGCACAAATTCTGTAGTTAAGAAGAGAGTTAATTGCGAAAACTGCGAAACTTACTTTCATGACAAGTGTACTCTACGTGGAGCATGCTGAACTTTTGCAAACAAGGAGCATGGATCTCGAATGTAAATTAGATAGCCACGAAAAAACTCATTAACTATGACAATCACCACTGTTTTATTAGCTGATATCATCTCAGGCATAATTCGGAATGAAGTGAAAAATGGAATTAAAATCCAAATAAAAAACTAAATATCTGTACTCCAATTGAAAAACTTGAAAACAGCCAAAAGTTAACCGAGAAAAGATTGGGAAATGTACACATGGTATAATTATATGAAACAAACTAAAACATGTGTAATAATACAATTACAAACAAGTGACCTGTTGAAAAAGGCAAGTATAAAGGAAATATAATTATTGGAACTGAACCAGACATAGATATTGCAACTAAAATAAAAAAGTGCAACCATGTTAACAAGACGACTTTTACATAAGGGATTTTCTGAAGTTACATATAAGACAACTTCGAAAAAGTGGCAGTTTTGTTTTACATTCAAATCTGCAAAGACATATATAAGTATATAGAAATATAGTGGTTACTGCATAATCGAGTAATTAATTTGTATGCTGAGAAGAGAAATGACCTTAAATTATACATCTCTACTTATTTAAATGAGTATGAGTATGCGTAAACTCCGATAAGGTTAGCAACTAGAAAAGCTTAAATCTCTCACCAGTATATTGTCGTTATCTTAATATACAGAGTTATGATAAAGTAATGCACAAAATTCATGAAAAGCGCAGCATTTGTTTTTGGAAAAAATACAAAATCATGTCAAGCTTTTTATTTTACTCATTGTCAAAAAAATTGACGTCAAATTTGTAAAAGCTATCACACCATCAATGATTTTTTTGAATAGGAAGGTATAATTTTGATTGCGTTATTTGATAAAGCTTATTTTTCTACATATGAAAATGTAGCATGATACAGAGATTGCATAACAAAAAAATTGAGCAAATTAATAACAGACAAAATAAACTTGATTTTTAAACGGAATTTTCAGTATTCTGGGGACTTATTCGAGTCATTTCATGTCGAATTCGTGCTTTCAAGTCGTCTAGATTACCGGGTCTGTTCATGTAAACACGACTTTTTAAATGTCCCCATAAAAAAAAATCAAGGGGTGTCAGATTCGTAGACCTAAGTGGCCATTCTATTGGTCCACGCCTTCCAATCCACCTTCCATCAAAATGATTAGCCAAAAAAACCTTTACATTAACACCGTAATGTGGTGGTGCCCCATCCTGTTGGAACCAAATCCTGCGATCTAAATTTTATGGATTATCTGGATAAGGAAACGTAGTAATTAGATCCGGAAGCACTGCGGTTCTAAGATGATCTAAATATCGATCTGCTGTTAAATTTCCGTGAAAAAAGTAGGGGCAACTGAATCTTCTGTGTATTATTCCTACCCAAACATTAATTTTTTGGGGACGTTGGGTGTGTGCCGCTTGAACCCAATGAGGTTGTTCTGGAGCACAGTAACGACAATTGTGTCGATTTACGGTACCATTTAAGTAAAATGTTGCTTCATCCGAAAATATGTACGACATTATTTAAAAAATTGGGATTTTTGAATTGAGCTTTCACAAAGTTCTAATCGTTTGTCTGAGTTGAACTTTATATGGATGCAGTTTCTCTTTTTTTAAACACTTTGCCACAAACAAAACTCTTGGAACATCTCTCACGTTTCCTGACTAAATTTTGCAAAATTTCTACTAACTGTGCTTCTAGCGATTGGAGATCGTTCAAAATGTACTTCGGTGAACGTAGCACACACTTCTTCGTGGCTTCGAAGCCTATCACCATAACCTACCATCATAAGGATTTCTATACGTTCTTTTTTGGTTAAAAACGAGCCATTATTATGTGACTTTGGCAGAAGTATAGCTAAACAAAAAACATATTTGTTTACAAGTCACAAACTATCTGATTACATACGGCCAAAAAGTATTCTTTATTTTATTAATTTAACCAACTTAAGAAACAGAATTTTGTTTTAATTTTTAATTATTTGGATTTCATTTTGTTTCATGTTCATATCATGTTTATGTCGTTTGTTATTAATTTTCTCCATTTTTTTTTGTTATGCAGCTCCTACATCAATCTAGATTTTCATATGTAGAAAAATAAGCTTTATCAAACAATCTGATCAAAATTATAAATTATAGCGTCTCATTTTAAAAAAACATCATAACTTTTACAAATTTGTAAAATCTTTTTGACCTATGTCACAATATGAAGAGTAAAATGAAAGACTTGACACTTTTTTTCAAAAACAAATGCTGCGCTTTTTCGTGCTTTACTTTATCATAATCCTGTATATATAACCTTTTAATTATATCTAACCCAATCACTTAAGCTTATCACTGTGACTAATAAAGTATTAAGAAAAACAATATCAAATAAAGTTTGGACCAAATAATAAAGGAAACTAGTTATGAATTCTACTGCATAATATTAGACGTAATAAATTGCAATTCTGGAGAATTTTTTTTCTGCAAAACTGAATGTTCTGAAATTTTACAAACCTTTCAAGGTTATCATAAACATGGTAAATTGTCAATCAAAATTTACGTATCTGTTTATATCCCCAAACACTTGAAAAAGTCATGTCAAAATTTTGTTCCATAAATCCTATCGAAGATGTACGAAATATAATAAATCTACACTTGTGGTTTGTCAGTATATTGAGATTTTTTAGGATTATTTGCACAGGGTGACTCATTAAATCGATTTATTTTAAGAAGCTAAGAAAGTATTGTAATCGAGTCCATCGGCCGACTCGTTACTTTTGTGTCCTCTACGTTTCATAACCCCTAGAATACAAAAACATAAGTCTCTCGTTTCCGTTTGTCTGTCTGCCATCAGTGCCATCTGTCGTCTGCCGTCTGTTTGCGTCTGAGTGGTTTTTTTTATTGGAGAGAAAATCTTCTAAACTACCAGATCGATTAAAACCAAATTTTGCTCCAGGCATCCAAATAAAAAAAAAAAAACAAAATTGTAAGTATAATAACATTTTACAACTTGACTTTGAAACTGTAAAACCGAATGCCCTGAAACCTTGCAAACGTTTTATGGTTATCGAAAACACGATAAGTTGTTAATCAAAGTTTATAGCCCCCTTAAAACTGATGACGTCATCTCAAAATTTCGCCAAATAAATCCTATCTACAGTATGCAAAATATGATGAGTCTATACTTGTGATTTATCATTAGATTTACATTTGTTATACAGGCTGACTCAAAAAAATTAATGAATGAGTCAATTTATTTTATTGATTAAATTAGGAACTCGATTTGATCGAAAATTTGGCAATACAATACTGTTATTATTAGGATTACACTGCATCAATCCAAATTGATATAGCTCCGTCTCCTTGCAAAAATGTTGATGACGTGATCACAAAATTTTATCAATGAAATATACGTACATATCTTTATTTTAACTTATAAATGATTCTCATAAAATTCGCAACATCAAATTTTGTAATTTTTCGAAAAGGCTGTACTTCAGGTGTGAGGGAAGTTCTATCGAAATAACCTTCGACCAATTTTATAGTGGTTACCAAAAAGAAAATAAAATTAATAGAATCAAATTTTATAATAAAAATATTTAAAAAACTGAAGTTCTTTACTTCAGGGTTGGGAGAAGTTCTGTCTAAATAATATATACCGTGTTTGGATTCCAAAACAAAAACGTCTTGTAGAAATGTTGTCTCTAATTTCTATTTTGAAAATTTATTTATTATTTTTATTGGCTACTACTTCCCAGTATTTTCGCATTTTCATAACTGCAGCTATTCATTTATTTATTAATTCATCGAATTTATGAAAACATAGCTGTGCTAACAAATACAATTAAAAAAATGCAGTCTACTTTTATGATGGCAATTTAAACAAAACACAATTTGCATATAACAAGCCAAGTCCGTGTTAGCATAGAAAACGCGCACGTACATTGTTATAAAGAAAAAACTGAAATGCCCTTAAGTCATTGCCGAAACTTTTTGTTAACTTAGACTGGGGTATCTATAATTTAAAATTATTATACTGTGCTCAGCGCTGTTTGAAAACTTGTAATGCTTATACAGACGTAACACAACTGGAAGGCTTTTGTGTATCTTTATCGGTCCGTTTCGTTGTATACATTTTTAGCAATCAAAACAATGTAACTTTTTCGCCTATGCAACAAACTAGTTGATAGCATTGTTATCCACACGAAAATCGGGACATTTTGCAAAAAAACAACACATTATTACCTTCTTCAACCGTTGTTTTGTTTCTAATTTTCGTTTTATTTTGAAACTTAATAATATTTCTAAAGATCTGTGTAAAATAAGTTTCACATAATTGGAAAAGTTTCTGTATTCTAAATATTACGGTTCACTTATTTTGAAAGTCCTTAATGTTCATCCTATATGGAGCTTCAGACTAAATGAGAGACTTTCCCATAAAACAAGGTAAAATTGTACATTTGCACATTCGCGAGTGTACAGTCTGAAAGAAAAATGATAGTAGCGTAACGATAACCCATCCCCGGTACAAAACGAAGCTGTGCTTTTGAAATGAACACTCCAACAAGCTTTAATAAAAATATTTTCCCTTACTTCTACTAACGTAAGGATGGCTAAATTTCGTAAAAGTGGAAGAGACGATTGTAGCCATTAGAACGAAGATAAGATTTGTATATATAAAAAAAAATACGTTTTGTTAAGGCTCTGCATTCGTATCTCCCCCGCACGATGAATATGACCCATCGGTCAAATTAATTTCGTTGAGCGAACCACCCTTAATCAGCGACACTTCCAGCAAAAGCCCCTATCTTTGCGGAAATAAATCAGCGCACGGTGCAAAAGAAGTCGGCAAAGATAAACCGTCACCAAGTGATAAATTCATGTATCATTCTTAGCCTTCGCCGACGTCAACGGGCAACAATACAGAAAAAGGCAACATCCCAACAATAATACCTGAGTATAATGCGTGCAGCAAGAACGAAACAAAAAAGGCTCTCAATCCACCCTTTCACCGTCGACAACAGAACCTAACCAAACACTCACAATGGCATTGTCAACACATCACCGTGGCATTCATTGAACTGGTGCAATCGACGCCGACGACGCTGCCTGTAACGATGCGACGCGAGACGTCGTTCCTACGCGAGATGCGCCGCCAAACTGGGAAAGCAAGGGAAGACCGTCCACAACAACACCAGACGCAGAAGGCCCAACGCACGATGCTTTGCTGCTGTGCTGTGTTCCGAAGGGCGCGCGCCTGTCCTGTGCTGCTGGTGAATCAGATGTGACATTCGGGAGGGATCGCGAGGTGCTTGATTGTTAGCACACTCCATCATCCTAATTACGGACTCTTCGCCCAAAATCACAAATCCTCAAATAGGGGAGCTAGTTTTTATATTGGTTTGTCGAGTCACAGACAAAAACATTAATTACTTGTGTGCTTCGCCTGTGTTGTGGTATTTTCAGGCGGGTCCTAAAATTAACGCTGTTAGCCGCTATAATGACGGTTAAGTAGTCGATATTAATCTTTATTGTTGTGGAAGAACTAGCGCCGTGAAAGCACAGTATATTCGGACTTTGCATTTGACGATCCGAACAAAATGAGTTGTTAAAATAAAATCACTCACTCTGCTTTTCAAGAATAAACAAGTAGTTTTATTTTTATTACCTCAGGATTAATTGTAATAACGGATGGACTGAAAGTGACGAGAATTCTTTATTTTGTAAAATAATGTTCAGCGTTCAGCTAAAAAATGTAATCAAGAGTATGTGGATTTTTTAATGAAGACTTAACAAGAATGAGCTTTTTAAAAAATATTTACAAGGTCCTCTTTATTCGATTTGTTTTAAGGAACTTTTGATCTTAGTGATCATATCTTGGACAACCTCCAAGGTATTTTTTTTGTTTGGCTTCGTAACCTGTGCTTTACGAGTAATTATTGTTGGATCATTTTAACCTCCCCTCCTGCATGGGCACTGCGAACCATTCTACATAATATAGACCAAAATGCCCAGTTGAAAGGGCTTTGAATGTCTGAATACGAATTTCACGTCTTGTCCCTTCGCCAGTTCCAGGTGGTCATAACGCAAAATGATGCTCATCATCAGGACAGATAAATAAACCTGAAGAATCTCAATAATGGCCTTCTTTTTTCTGAAATTACAAAAAAAAAACGTGATCACTTCAATTTTCTTTCGTCTGACCAAACAAGAAACAAACATACTCACGGAGAAATTCTCTTGTGGTCATATTGATCAATTCAATTTACACTTGTGGTTTGTCAGTATATTGAGATTTTTTACTCATTAAAGCGATTTATTTTATTGATCAAATCAAGTACGGGTCCCTGATGTTCCTTAAATTTAAGGAATATAGTGCTATTACTACATTGCACTTATCCAAACTGACAAATATGTCCTTGCTAAAAAGTTAATGGCCATCGCATAATTTTATAATGAAAAATTTAAAAATTCACTTGAAACATAGGCACATTATGTTTTTTTGCCTGTAGTTTAACAGTCGATTTCTTTTTACTTCCCTAGCGTATGCTAAGAAAGTATTGTAATCGGATCCATCGGGCGACTCGTTACTTTTATGTTTGCTCTACGTTTCATGACCCTAGAATACAAAAACATAGGTTTTCCGTTTCCGTCTGTCTGTCTACCATCTGTCGTCTGCCGTTTGTCCGCGTCTGTGTCGATTTTTATTAGACAGAAGATCTTCTAAACTACCAAATGGATTGTAGCCAAATTTCGTACCTATATTAGGAATTTTGTGTAGATCGTAAAACGCTCACCAAAATTTGTCTGATCGTTCCCGCCAATGATGATATGACGTCATCTCCAACTTTTATAATAGTAAATGTTATTTAAATTTTATAAAATAACATACACTTCTACTTGTAATTTATAAATCCGTGTAAGTGTTCGCCCTAAACATCCAAATGTCAAATGGGAATTGGATCAGAACAGCTCATTTTCAAAATGTTTATTCCGCAAACGTGCGGACTGACATTATTATATATTATAACTGGTCCATACTTTTTGAAGGCAACTTAACAAGGTACAGGTATCAACAATTTTTGTAAAATGATTTGCCCTGGCTAGTGGATTATTTGAATTTGATTATAAATAAGGTCACTGTACCCTATATGGCTTACCTAAGCTTTGAGATTTTTTTTAAATTTTGTAAGAAGTTGAAATGGAAGAGTAATGGTGGGAGTTGAAAGAGGTTACATTTTTGTACATACTTTTCAAATTACAGACATTTTCAAAATTTTAGAGCCCGACAGTACCCACTCTCCTACTCGTCAAGCCATCCAACTTCTTGAATGTACTTGTGTAATGTAGAGGGTAGGAATTGCCTGATTTTTGTCATACTAGGTCAGATGTTCCCTAGTATGAATTCCCTGTAAGAGGCTAGCGCTGGACACTCACGAAGAATGTGCTCAGCTACTTACTCTTCCTCTCCCTCTCTACATCCACGACAGACTGGGTCTGTTACTGCGCCTATCGTGTGTAGATGTTTGTTAAACTGGTAATATCCTGTAAGGAATCCTACCAGAAGCCTTAGAGACGTCCTCACTGCCGCTTCCTCTATGTAAAGGTTAATAAGAGATGCTAAGCAAAGAAGTGTCTCCAAAGCCACTGTGGAAGTGGTTCTCATTGCTCCTGTAACACTGAGACCCGCCATTCTCTGCACGTGTAGCACATCATCGGTCTGACTAGTGCCGTATAGATGCAGAGCACGATCTTGGGGTTTAAACGTCTTACGACATTGCTAGAAAGGCAAACATGCTTTTTCCACCTTATCATCTACATGCTTTTACCAGTTCAGTCGCCAGTCCAATACAACTCACAGGTATTTAGTAATAATAATAATAATAATCGGTTTATTTTCAACAGGTGATATTCACCTAATTACAGGAAAAACTAAAAATTACATAAATGTAGGTATGACTTAATAATATTTTTAATTTAAGTAGGATACAATAATAAAAATAAAAAAATAAAAAGAACTAAAAATTAAGAAAATCTGTGATTCTGTGGGGTCCGTTAACTTGGCACCACCAAGTTAATGAATTTTACTCAAAAGCTAGCACCTCGTTGTTCTAACCTAGCACCAGCTAGCACCACCAATCAAAAAGCTAGCACCACCTAATTATTGAAATAAGAGCCTTTTACTTTCGGGGGGGGGGCAAGTTAACGCTAGCCCCCCGACATTATTTAATTCTCATGAAAAGTTGGTCCGAGGTAGTTTAGACCTAGCACCAGCTAGCACCACTAGTCTCATAGCTAGCACCACTCTGCAAGTATTAAAAAAAAATTAAAAACCAAAAAAAAAGTAGCCCCCACTTTTTTTTCTTTAATGGTAAAAATCAGTAGGTTATAGTCTAGAGCTAGCACTCGCTGGATCCATTAAAAAAAAGTGTATTTTTATTCAATAAAGCCATGTAATAAAGGGTTATTTTCGGGGGGGGCTAAGTTAACGCTAGCCCCGCAATATAATTTAAAGACAATGAAAAGCTAGCACCTAATAGTTTAGAGCTAGCACCAACTAGCACCATTAGTCTTATAGCTAGCACCATTAAACAAACTAAATAAAATAATTGAAAAGCCCTGAAAAAATAACTCGCATCTATAATTCCCAATCGTGGCCGGAAATAAACTATCTTTGAAAATTAATACATTACAATCATCCATTACTTATAAAAAGTCATGTTTTCTGCATTGAACAGAACTTAATATCTACATTATCTACATATTTAATTAAATTACATCACTTGCGTTCAAATCGTTCTTCATTTATTTCAACACACTAAAAATTAGGCCATGATAAATGCGATCATTTAATTTTTTTCCACAGTCATACATTTGACTGACATTACGTAAATAACAAATTTGAAATAACAAGCGAGACTATAAAATTGAAGTCATTTGTAATTTATAAATCCGAAATTAATGACGAAAACCTTTGTAAACTCTAAATTCCTAAAAATATTATTAAAATAATTTAAAATCCTAGAAACTTAACAGACAATGTGTCTAGAAGTCAAGTACAAATTATGAAGTTTTACTATCCGTAATAATAATCCGTATTTTGGGGCAAGCGTCTATTCTTTAGTTTCGCGCTTAGTAATACTTCAGGTATACGGACAAAATAGCATTTGTGAACAGTTTGGTGGGCCTTGTAGATCCCTACTACACTTATACAATGAATATTTGTTTGAATAACACGCTTTAGAAGCAGCTTATTTTCAAGTTAACGCAAATTCATTACTTATTACTAACAAACACATTATTCATTTTAATAAGAACTAATTTAGTTTTTTGTATCGATAGTGGTTTATTGGAGTTAACACTTTAACCATAGTTCCTTTATTACAAATTTTATTACAAATTTGTAATAAAGAAGCTCTAACTTTGTTGTTGCGACGGTAATATTCTTATAAGATCGTAAAATTAGCATCATATTGTCCCGTAGTAATCTTGTAGTGCAAACTGTCGTCGTCAAAACGGACTCTTCTTAATCAGGGAAACTGTAATTCTTCCATTAGTTCTACTCCGTGCCGATATACACGGTGAGTCACTAAACGGGTGCTCCTCGATATCTCAAATAACTGTACAACCTTAGTGTTTGATTTTTTTCCAATCACTAATAATAATAATAATATAATTAATGAGATAGTGAGGACCGCGCGTTTAGTGATTCGGAATTGGAAAATGGTACAGCCAACGAGCTGTGAATTTAAAAACCGGCTTTTTTTTTCTAGTAGTGATAACTATGGATGGTTCTAATTATCATTAAAGTTCGTATTAGTTTTCAGAAAGGGATTGTGAAGACACGCTTCTTTCAGAGCGTAGTCAGACATCTACTCCCCTCAATGCCGGGTCGGATATCCCTAATTACCAGTACGCGGGAATTTATCTCACCGCTGCAATCCCCCAGCTCAAGTAAGGTGTGTTTTACGGCGAGTAGCAGGGACGCTTTGAGCTGGTCCACAAGGTCGTAGCCAGTGCGTCGCTAGGAGTGTTTACAGCTAGTAAAAAAACTATTTCTATATTACTATATTACTTCAAATAATAATACTCGATGCACTTTTTAATTTTTCAACCATAGGACCACAGATTTGTGATCTTGAAATG